CAGACTTCAGGTGACTGCATGTCACTGTTTACTTATCAGACTTCCTGTGCCTTTGTTAACAAACATTCGAATTGCAAAAGTGCAACACACTTCTCTTGTAAGCACAGTAAAAAACTATTCTGCAAACTGCATTTGAAAATACTTAGAGCAACTGGAAACAGGGCCGCCAGCAATGAGATTCCCTGGGTTCGTTTGCAGCATCACTGCAGGAATTGGGCTGCAAGCACGGGGGGAGCAGAGCAGAGGGCTGAGCTGGGGGGGGGGGCGGGCACAGCCGCGGGCGGGGGCTGCTGCCGGAGCCGTGGGCACCTGCTGCTTTCCGTTGGTAAAATAGGGGAAAAGGCTGCTATTTGTGCCGATCGGGCTCACGGGTTGGGATTTCTTTAGCAGAAGTGATGGCTCTGCCCCCAGCCAGCGCGGGGGGGGAGAGGGGGGGGAAGGGGGGGGTTGCTGCAGCCCCTTTCTTCTGGAAAGCTCTGCTGCAGAGAATGAAAGCGGCAGCGCTGTCAGATGGAGTTGTTGGTGCGCATCAGGTGATGGGAGAAATTACTCATAAGAGCAAAGGGTCCGTCGTGCGTTTATTGTGATACAGTCGGGAGCTGCGAGCTGTGCATTTGTCAGCGTGTAATACTGAGAGCTGAAAACCGCAGAGGACACTGCCAGTGACCCAACTCCGGTGCTCCCATAGCCTGAGAAGTCCGAAAAACTCTCATCTTGGGGATCTGGGAGGGCTGGGGGCTGCTCAGTGTGCCGGCACTTCGAGACACAGCTCTGTGCTCCAACCCTGACCTCCGTCCCAGCTAGAAGCGCGCTCAATCCTTTCTTAATTTGTAATAGATACTTGTGTACATTACAAAACCAGCTCACAATTTGGCAAATTAAGCTGTCTGTGGTTGGCTCCGGGACTGCAGAGATATTGCAGCGCTGCAGCATTGCATAACGGCTCCGCAGCATCTGCCCTACTCCGCGAGCAGCGGCAGTCCTTATCTCGGGTGGGCATCACATCCACCCCAGTCCTCAAAAAAAAAGAATTAGTATCAAATATACATGGGGCATGTTCTGCCTTGTGGCTGCAATGTTTTTTCAATTAACTTCTCTGAATGTACCACAATGAAAAGTGTCAGCTTTTTGCCTCAGAGGCCTATAATTAGCTTAAATGAATACAGTTAATTATCTGCTGCCTTCTTTACACAAAACAATACGTTTCTATAAATTAAAAGGTTCATACGGCTGTTCACTTTGCAGTAAGGGTGTGTTGCTGTACCGGGGGTATCTGGTGCATCAGGGTTTTGTCTGCGGCTCTTACTGCAAAGCAGTGAAAGCAAAATCCATCTGAGCAATCTATACCGTGCAAATCGCAGTAATTAGAACACACCTCGGTGACATGATTACCGGTGACAGTGTCCATCAAACAAGCACTCCTTCCTATTTAACAGCTGTTTTCTGTCAAACTCCGTTCGACAGCCCGAGCTCTGCGGTACCTGCGGCCACACCAGGACGGGAGCACCGCGGGGCGAAGCGCTGCTCCCGGCATTTGTACCCCCGGCTGCGGGTCCGCCGCTGCCCCCCGTGCGGGCCCGGAGCCCAGAGCCGGCGGGATCGGGTTGTGCCGGCGCCCGGCCCGCAGCCGGAGGAGGGAGCGCTGCCGGGGGGGCGGCGGGGCGTCCCGCAGCGTCCCCGTTCCCATCGCAATGGGTGTTAATAGCTTACGGCCTACGTGGGATCCTCGCTCACCAGTAAGTTGCTATTAAATTTAGCAAGGGCCCTTCTTGCAGCCGGGAGAGCGCTCTGAGCTGCGCTGCGTTAAGGTGCATTTTACCCCGAAAAACCTCCGGCCGTTCCGTTTTCTCACGGACGCCGCACGTCCCCGCGCTGTGCGCTCCGTATCCGCCCCTTCCAGCTTCCCTCACCCCGCGTTCGGCGCTGCGCGGCGGTGGGAGAGCGGCTGCGGGTTCGGAGCGCCGCGGGGAGCCGCGGCTCGGCCGTCACCTCCAGGCGGCTGCGGCGTCAGACCGTGCCCTCTCACGGAGGGTATCACTTCTATTGTCAGCGCTCGTAAATAACGGTGCCCCCCTGCGCACCTCTGCAAACGCCAGAAAGCCGTTGCGGGGACACCGAGGCGCGGGGGACTCGCGCTTCCCCGCGGAGCCGCTTGAGGCTCAGCCGGTGCCTCTCGGAGATTCGTGCCCCTCTGCGGGGCTGCCCGGCTCTGTGCCCCGCACCCCGCGCAGCCCGGAGCCGACTCGGCGCCGCTATGAGAACAGCCGCAGCCGTCGGCGCTCCCGCAGGTGCCGCGCGGTGCCCCGCTGTCCCCGCAGCATTTCTCTCTCTCGGGATGGGCGCAGCTGCGCACGGTCGGGGCTCCTTTCAGCACCCAGCGCTGCTGCCGGCAGTTCCCATCGCTGTGCCCAACTATCACCGATATTATGTCCAGAGGCGACGCGACCACTCAGAGCAATGAAAGCAGAGCGAGGAGCGCACCGCGCTGGGAGCTCCCCGCAGCCCGGAGCGGTGCGGTGCGGGGATGGCAGCGGCGGCAGCGGCACTCCGCATCCAGGGGCGATTTCTTCGCCTTTGAGACACCGGAATGCGCGGCTCGGGGGGTCCCTAAGAGCCGGGGGAGGCGCGCTGTACTCACCGCACTGCGGCTCTTCGGCTCCGGGAGAGGGATGGGGAAAAAGAAAAAAAGAGAAAAAAAAAAAAGAGAGAGAAAGAAAAGGGAAAAGTAACCCCGCGGTCGCGCTCGGAGCGGTGCGGCCGGGCCGAGCCGGGCCCCTCGCGGCGGGGGGCCGGAGGGAAGCGGCGGTGGAGCCCGCGGAGGAAACTCGCGAAATAAAATCAGACTGTTAGTTAAGGCGCGTAAATTTAAAAATATTTGGACAGGAAGAGAAAGGGGAAAGAAACCGTAGAGACGAGCTAACGGTTTCGGAGCCGGGCGCTGCCCCCCCCCTCCCTCCCCAGCCCGGCGGCCTCTGGGGCGGCCCCGCTCCGCCGCGCTCCCCGGGGGACGCCGCAGCGCTCCGCCGCCACCGACATTTTGAGAGCGGGCAGCGGCTCCCGGAGCTGCGCGGGGATTTCGGCTGCGCTGCCCGCGGCGGCCCGGAACCATCGCGCTGCCCGCGGCTGCCCGCTCGCTCCCCTGCTTTCTTTTTTCTTTCTTTTTTTTTTTTTCTTTTTTTTTTTCTTTATTTCTATTTTTTTTTTTTCTGTTTTCTTTCCCTCCACCCCCGCCTCGCATAGTGCCGCCGTCCCTCAGAATAAATGCAGTTTTCCTCTCTTGGCTTTTTTTTTTTTTTTTTTTTTGCTCCCCATGGCAATCACACTCCGCTGGGAAGTGGATAATAACGTGGGACCGCTCCCCGGCCCCATCGAACCGTGGGGTGCACGGATGGCAGAGGCACCCGTCTTTCTTTTAGAGGCTCCAAAGTGGCGCTTTTCTGCTGTTTTAACCCTTTCTTCACAAGAACACTGCAACGGCGTTTCCCACAAAGATAATTCCTCACCCCAGCACGGAACGACTCACCCATCCCTCTTCTCACCGCACAGAAACGCGCACAAAGCCTCACGGAACGCCGCCCCTCCGCTGCTCCCACTTGCTGTGCTGGGGCTCACCCCCAGCCCCCGTTCCCCCCGGACCCAAGGGCCGTTCCCCACCGCATCCCTCCGGGATCTGCTCCTTTTCGGATGTATTTCAGCTTTCCCTCTCTCTATAATTTAGAAGCAAAGGTAAATGAAACAGCTCAGCCCCGCATCCCGAAATAGGGGAGAGGGCTCCGTGCCCGGGGCAGCGTTTTGTTCCCCATCGCTCCGCACCGCACTCTCTGTAGTTGTGATGTGCACGACTCCGGCTGCGCTCCCCCTGGGCTGCTCCTGCCCGGGAGATGTCCTTTTCTGATGGTCTCTGTCTCAATAAAAGCTTGAAAAAAATATATTTCGTTACATCTGTGTGTTTGCTTCCTCTGCTGAATGTTATTGTTGACACCGTCACCAACAGGATTTGTAAAATTGGACTTTCTGCTGCTGTCAGAGCTCGAGGAGAGAGTCGTAAAAACCACTTCCAGAACCACGTCCGAGCTCAGAACCCTTTGGGGCAGAAGGATCCCCACTGAGGAGCACCGCAGCACATAGGGAAGCCCCCACTCCTGTTCCCCGGAGAGTTTCCAACATCCATTCCCCTCCCGGTACCAAGGGCAGGGGAAGAGGTGTCAATGTACCGTGTCGCCGCCGAGAAATAGGCTTTACGGATCGGGAGAGCCGCGCACCGCGCTCCGGGAGCATCCCGAGGGCACCGGGAGGGCGGGGCGGGGGGTGCGGGCAGAGCGAGGACGGGGCGCCGCTGGGGCTGGGGGGTCCTGGGCTGCGCAGGTGGGGAAGAACAGAGACGGTGAGCGCGGCCCCGAGGTGCTGCCACCCCGTGCGGCAGCGGGGAGGGGGTCCGCAGCCCTTCGGGAACAAATGTGCCACAGAACCGCGCGAGGCGTTGCAGTGCACAGAGGTTTTTAATCAGAGAACCCAGAACACAGTGGTTGTGAGAGTACAGCGACGGGATGGACAGGTCCAGGCAATTACTGATACTGGAAAACAATGGTAACTCATTTTGCGGGACAGTGTATACACGCTTTGTTTGTTTGTTTGTTTGTTTTAGAGAGAAAACGTAAAGCAAGGTACACCCCTTGTCTTTTTGGTGCTATTTTGTAGCCAGTCTTTCCTTTCACACTGATGTGAGCCCTTCCCATCCTGTGCCACCGACAGTCGGACCCCGCAGCACAGAACACGCTGAGGTTCCCGTCCGCCGCGCCTCCCGCTGCTCCCTGCGGCCCGGGGGGTTCGGCCGTAGGAACCTAACGGCTGTTCTGGAAGGGAAACAGTTGAGGGATTACACTGCTCGTCAGGTGCAGGCATTAAGACCACCTCACTGGTACCTAACGTGTTGCTTCCTAAATTCCACTGCATCCAAATATCTTTAAGATCCAGCTATCATCCTTTTTTTTTTTTTTTTCCCCCAGACAAAACAAAACGGGTGGATGCGAAGCGATCATCGAAACGGCACTCAGCTCAGGCAGGAACCAGAGGGGCAGGAACCAGAGGAGCTGTAGTATTGCAGCCCCTTCACGCTCCTACCTCTGCCCATGGCTATCTGCTATTTTGAAACTGGAAAATAATGTACTTTTCGGCGCGGGGTGCCAACTCAGCTCTTCGAAACCTCTGGCCAAAAAAAAAAAAAAAAAAAAAAAAAAAAAAAGAGCCACTTATGTTGTTTCTGGTAACTAAACTCAAAGGCAGCTCGGTGAAAGTTTAAATACACAAAGTGGAAAAGTGTCATCTACATTTAGAAAGCAAGCGACCTACTCCTACGAGCTCCTGTTAGTGTCAAACTGAGGCAGCTGCCCGAAGCGGCTCTCCCGGGCCCGGTGACCCCCGGCCGGGCCGCTCCCGGTCCCCGCCCGACCCCAACACGCGTCAGGCTGAGCCGGGGGGTGGGGAGGGAACGGGGAGAGGGGGAAGAATCCCCGCGGGTTGTTTCCTTCCCCTGGAGCGGAAAGGGAACATTAAGCGGTGGATGCGCAGCGTTCGGGTTAATGGCTGAGTAATGAGCGGGGATACACTGCAGAGCCTGGTGCTGGAAGCCCGGTGCGAGCGGCGGCGTGGGCACGGCGGGGTAAGGAGTGCCGTGAGCGGCAGCGGTAGCGACGTGCCGCCACCGTGCATTGAAATCATGTTCCTCAGCTAAAACCCCACCTCTACAACTTCTTGAACTCACGCTATCGACTATTAAAAAAATATAACAACAACAACAACCAAAAAAAAAAAAAAAAAAAAAAGTAGGGTTGAACCAAACGTTATTCAAAAGGAGGGGAAAAAAAAAGAAAATAATAAAAGAATGAGGCTGGGAGCCGCAAGGTCCGAGGGGGCCCGGTTCAGTCGGCGTCGGCCGCGGGCGGAGGGCCGCCCTCCATCAGCCGCACCACGGCGCTGCGCCGGTACAGCCGGGCCAGGTCCAGCGCCGTGTCGCCGCGGCGGTTCTGGTGCGCCACGCGGCTCGGGGTGCGCCGCAGCAGGAACTCCACCACCCGCACGTGGCCCTCCTGAGCCGCCAGGTGCAGCGGCAGGTTGCCTTCCGCGTCCTCGATGTTCACGTCGGCGTGGAACTCCAGCAGGGTCTGCAAAGTGTCCAGGAAACCCGCTCTGGCTACGTCGTGAATGACGGCGAAGCCGGTACTGTCCTTCAGGTTGGGGTTCGCGCCGCTCATCAGCAGCCTGCGGGCGATCTCGGGGTTGCCGAGCTTCATCACCTGCGGGACGGAGTGAGACGTGAGCGCCCGCGGGGCTCCGCGCCGCCCCAGCCCTCAGCCCGCAGCTCCGAGCCCTACCGCGAGCGGAGCGGCCCCGCGCACGGCTACAAGCGCCCGTCTAATCTCAAGCTTTCCTCACTGACCTCGGCAGCGACAGGGGAGTTTTGGTGGCTCGGTGGTGACAGCTCTGTCTCAGAAATTAACGCCTGCAGCGGGCGCGGCTTCTCCCCGAGAAGTTCTCTCGGCTCCTCACCGCAGGACGCGCAGCCCGGCCCGCTCTGCGCGCACCGAGACGCCGCCGCACCACCGCTCAGTGCCGCTCACCGTCGGCTGTGGGTCTCCGAGGAACAGAGACTGCACCTCAGCGATAAAAAATGCGCGATGTGCTTCGATAAGCCCTCGGGTGTTTGCATTGCCTGTGCATTATCATAAAGCAAATATTTGTGCCGCGCCATAGTTCTGGCTGCTAAGAAAAATAAATGCTCCAAGAAATTGTTCTTCCCGGTGTTGGAGGCTCAAAATGTCACCTGAGAAGAAGTCAAAAGGAGTGTTGCAAAGTCCCACACATTTTTTTCTAAAACCAATAAATTATTCTATGGTTATGGATTCTATGATTATATTGGGATTCTATAATTTTACCATAAGCAAACCACGGCCACGTCCTGCTGTTACACACATCTCTATTTCAGAAACAATCGTTGGATTTTTCTGATCGTTCCTTTCAGGAAAAAAAAAAATTAAAATGCCTCTTTAAATGATCTCGATTGCATCACAAAATCATTAAAAATTAGAATGCATTTTTTTTCGTATTCGGGACGTAAGAGCCTGCAACGATTTCCACCAAATTCCCCTTTTTTTCTTGTTTTGATTTCTCAGAGCCTGTCCAGACTCCACACCCCGCACCCCTCGGGCAGCACTGCTCTGTTTTTGCCACCAGCCGCACTGCGAGTGTCAAATCCGAACAAAATTCCCCCTGAATTTCCTTAGAACTGATTTGAAAACCTTGCAAAAAAAATTATCAGCATAAGTTAATGTTACAGTGCGTTGGATGCGAAATAATTGAGCAGAATTTACACAAAGCATTTGCCTCCAAAGTCTCCAAGTGAAAAACATGCATTTGGCTTTTTAAGGCCATACAAAAAAAAAAAAAAAAAAAGTTCATCTAATGATTCCTCTAATTAATAAACCTCATTCCTTCCCTGATGTGGTGCGGGGCAGAGTGGGAGCAGGGAGCAGAGGCTCGGGGAAGCACAGCTCTGAACACGCTGCTCTTTCACTTCTGAGCAGGAGTGGGAGGGAAAATAGGAGAAGTGCGAGCCCTCTTTTGTGTTGGGAAAATTATTGGGATGTCTTAGAGAGTATTTTTGGAGGGCTCGGGGTGTATTTTTTGTGGATTTAAAAAGTGTATTCGGTTGAAGTGGGAGTTAATAGGCTCGAGGAAGGCAGGCTCGGGGAGTGAGGCTGCATTGCCACATGCGGGGGGGGGGGGAGAACTGCTAACAGAGGGGATGGAGCCGGGGGGGGAGATGCACAGCTCCATTCTGCCCGGCTCCCCTAAAGAGAGACAACAGCCCGTAGCTGTGGCAGGGAGGATCGAGGCAGAATGGGCAGTGAGGCCTGCAGAGAGCACCTCGTCTGAAACAAAAAGCAGAGAGGAAGAGAAGCCGAGCAGCTGCTGAATTAAACAGAAATTCAGGGGCATACATATATATCCACAAATATTAATATTTAGGCAACCCCTCCGTTTTTATTGAGAGGTTATTGAGAGAATGTTGAGAAATTATTGAGAGATTATTGAGAGACTGTCTAAATTTGGGAGGCTGCACTGACAGAGCTGTTCCGAGGGCAGCCACGCACCCGCAGCCCACCTCGGGCGGTACGTACGGAAAGCAGCGGCCGGACCCTCCTGCCGTGCCCCGGCTGTGCCCCTCTGCTCCATGAGGACCGACGGTCGCAGCGCGGAGCGGGGCCGGGGAGCGGCTGCTGCGCCCCTGTGCGAAGCGGCCCCACGGAGGGCACGGGCAGCTCTCAGCAAATACATCACCGCTCTGCAAATCGCTTTCCAGCCCTCGTCCCGAGGGCGAAGCCCCGAGCTGCAAGTTTCTCTCTCCCTGATAAAGTTTTTGCTCTAAGTGTCCGATTTCCAGCCTTTCGCTCTCTTAAAAGTTGCCCCGAGTGCCCGCACGGTCACCCGGCGCCCGATTTGGGTGAGAAGAGCCTTCAAAAAATCGTACAGCCCTCGGGCCCCGTTCGTGTGCCCCCCCAGGGCCACCCCCGCTTGTCAGCGAGAGGTGCTCATTTTCGAAATGCAACATGTCGATGTCAAGTCAGGGAGGAAAAAAAAAAAAGAAAGAAAGAAAAAAAAAAGCTGTAAATATCTCGAATTCATCCGCAAGCACTCTGCTTTTTACAAAGTACATTTCAGAAATGATTCTCGTGGTTTCGAGGAGGGGGGAGAAGAGTTAACAAACGATTTTTCTAACGTGTGAAATTAATAAGCCCCGGAGCTCTGCTTCCACGTCCCTCTGTTTCACCTTCGGCACTAATAACCACACACTTTCTCCTCATCTATAAACCGTTCCTTTCGCTATCCCGTACGGATTCGACCCTCCTCGCCATCATTATCTGATATTATAAAAAGCAAAATCTTTCGTCAGCTTCAACAGTTCGCAGTTGGATGAGCTCCAAATGCTGCCTGTGCGGCTCCACGCTGAAAAACGAGGACACGGCACCCCACGGACGGTCAGAAATGAAAGAGCCGAACCCCCGCCCCGCCACCGAGCCGAGAAAGAGCAATTTTCAGCCCTAATGATGAATGAAGCGCCGGTGGCGGGGCTCGGGGTGCCGCTCCGCGGCTCTCAGCGCGCATCGAAGGTGCTCGGTGCTGTGCAGCCTCCGAACGAGAAAGGTCATTCGGCACAAACAGCGCATAAAGGAAAAGTACCATCGCGGCAGAGCCCAGCACCCGGACAAGGCACGTTTTAAGAGGGAAAGTTGGGGGGGGG